AGAATTAGACGCGATCACTCCGACCAGAACTTTATTGGTCTGACTTTTTGGCTTTGTTCTCGAACCTATCAACAGTGACAGTAGCAGAAGCGGGTAGTTCGTACAAAGGATGAATTTTCTATGCTACGGCAAAAAAAACTATGACATTTAACAGGTCTCTCATTCTAGGGGGTAGCTATCCGCCTGCGTGCGGCATGCGGACCCTAACCTGCTGAACATTCATCACTGGTACTGGCTTTTGGTGTGATAATTGCTGGCTCATCCGGGTCTCGACAAGGAATCCGAAGAGCCAGGTGAATAATAATCTTGTCTAAGCGATCGCGTTTACTTCTTGTTAATTACGTCCTCCGACGCGAATTTTCGTTCAGGCGAAAAGGTAGGTGAATAAAGATCTTGTCCGATTGATTACTCTTATTCTGTTACTTACTCTCTAGGACTCGTAGTAGCAGTAGGCCCGGACATTCTGCGTTTGTATGATCTACCGAAAATTCACAAGGATGGCCTGCCAATTCGTCCAAAGCTGGACATGCGCAACTGGCCGTATCATACAATAGCCAAGTGGTAAACTGAGAAACTCAAACCAACAAAGCAGCAGATGGCACCACGCGCGTTGAAGTTGTCAACGACGTGAATGGCATGAAATTAAACAGCATGAGGTTATCTCTAAACGTCTTCTCACCGTTCACGACCACCCCAATCACAGAGACAGTTGGTTAACTTTGCGAATTCTTACTGGCAAATGGGATGGAAATAGGAATGTCAACGAATGCACTAAAGGAACTGTTACTAAGATGCTAATTGAATGTGCAGTTCCTTTTTGACAACCAACAATATAGACAAGTAGATGGATTGCTATGGTCTCGCCTCTTGGACCTCTCTTGGCTAATATATTCATAGGCAATCTGAAGAAACCTCAAGCAAGCGAGCAGGTCAAAAAGTTAAAACACACCCATCTTTGCCATCACCCCAACAGAAACCGATGTAGATTCACTTTTAAGTACTGTCAAGCAAGCACATTTTTCCGGTAAGTTCACGTTGGAGGTGGAAACGGCAGGTTTACTACCTTTCTTGGACGTGTTCCTAGATCGAAGACCCGATGGTAGCGTCGCCTTTCAAGGGGCTGCTGGAAGTGAACTCCTAAGAAGACGCCTTTGCCAAGCAGTGTCATAAACCCTCCCAGCAACGAGAGTTCTGGAATTATTCTCAATCAATCCGGCCTTGCACGGCGACTGGAAGGACAGTTTGCCAGCTCAGACCACCTCCATGCGCATCTACTAATTTACTTGCTGTTGGTTATATTGCAAGTTATATTGGTCACACAAGTCGACACTTAAACAAAAGAATAAGGGAGCACCTGCCGGCGTGGCTCAGTAAAAGTGAAGTCAGGAACATAAACAGTGCCATTCTCATCAACAGTGTTGATTCCGAACATCGTATGGACCCC